AGACCCTCCAGCCAGGACCCTGCGGGGTTGGTGCCAGACGGATCACAGCAAAGCTGGGCTGGAAACAACCCCACAGCGGGTCCAACCCCCTGCTCCAGGCAGGATCAACCTGGACTAAACCGTCTCCGCCCGTGCGCATCGCCCCTGCTCTGCAAAGCGCCCAAGGGATGGAGACGCCGCCACTTTTCTCTTGACCGTCCTCTGCTTCCGCCTCCAGCTCCTGCGCTCTGCCGCCTCCGTCATCTGCTCACGGTTTGTCCTCGGGGGAGTTTGTTATCAGAGACCGCAACGAGCACGACGCGGGGCAGGAAGGCCTTGCAGGTCGCCTGCAAAACCTGCCTCGTTCCCGGGAGCCGCGACTAGACCTGCCCCAGGCGACGCTCGTCCAGACCTCCCCGACCTCCCCGCCCGCGAGGGGCAATCCCGGGTGTCTTCTTTGGAGCCGGTGTTTTCCCGTCTCGCCTGTCCTAGGGTAGTCCGATAGTCTCATCCCCGGGTTTTCCTCTCCGCCCCTTTGAATCTTCTCCGAGGTGTATTAAAACCCTCTGGGGTGGAGCTGCCCTTCTGCCAAGAGCAGCGGTGCTGAGCCGCGCGGCCCCGCGGGCTGGATGAATGCCGTGGGGCTGGTCCACGGGCCGTAGCCCCTTCACGAGGTCCTGCGCCAGTCTCGCGTGGGTGCCCCCATGTAGCGCTCGGGCGCTGGTATCTGACCCCTGGGGTCTAGAAGTGTAGCAGCAGGAGAGTGACCGTTCGCACGGCCACCGGGTATCTGGACCGGGGTGACCCCGGAGCCGGGATGCGTCTGGGGCACCCTGGCCCTAGAGGGGCTGATTTCACTGCCCTCCAGACGGGCTCTGACCCGTCCAGCTGTCCCGCTCTTTCCGCCCACAGAGCCAAGCCGTCCAGGGGATGGGGCAATCGCTGCCCTGCGGCTCAAGCTATTTAACCTTTCTTCCAGCTTCTGACCTCAGCTTCCTCTTGGGGTTTTTTTCCCAGGCGAAAGCAGGGCCGGCGCGGGCTGGAATGTGTCATATTCCTTTGATGGCTGCCTTGTGCTCTGGCGAGTCCTGCCAGGCTCGGGAAGCAAAGAGGACCGATCCCAGGGCAGTTTCCTTTCCCGGGGAGGCGCCAGGACTACACCCAGGGTGACCCCGGGGCTTTGGTTTTTATCCAGAGGAGCCCAAGAGAAGCCAAAGCGAGTTCCTCTGAACTAGACTGAATTCAACTGAATTAGTTTGTCGGGGGAATGACTCATCCGGCAACGTTACCAAGAGCCAGAGGCACACGTATGTCCTCGCTGCCACGTGGGGAGGTCTCGGGGTCCCTCCCAGTCCGTCCTCATGGTCGTGGCCAGGTCGAGACTCCCCCCGCCTCTGCGTCTTATACAGCTCGGGTTCAAATACCCGTCTTCCCGCCCAAGAACACGCACCAGGGATCCTGGTTTTCTCCGATTTACAAAAAATTCCCCAATTTTCGGGTAAAAAAAAAAGTAACCCAAAATCCACATTTTTCCGTGATCGAATTGAAGCGCCACTAATATAAATATCTAGACATCTGTCTATATAGATATCTAGCTATATATCTATATCTACATATGGCTATCTATAGCTACATCTACATATCAATGTCTATATCTATCTAGATAGCGATACATAGGTATCCATAGACCTCTATAGATATAGTGGTGTCTGATTTCGACCATGGAAAAATGTGGATTTCGGATGACTTTTTTGCATCTGAAAATTGGGGATTTGTTTTTATTCGGAGAAACCCGGGATCCGTGACGATCACTCGGGCAATGGAGCGGGGATCCCGACTCACGACCTGCACCCCTTGCGCTCGCCGGATGGAGCCGTGGGTGCGATCCCCGGGCGCGTGCAGGTGGCTGGGATTCGGACGGATGCTCCTAGGGGCAAGGAAAGGGTGAGGGGGGTGTGCGCCCCCGGGGCGGGTGATGGGGGTCCCTGGGGTCCCAA